TTGTGCAGTTGAGACCACTAATATTGAGTAATTAATAAGCAGTGTCTGTTCCTGTAATATTGTCAAGTCCCCCCTTTTGATGAACTGTTATGGATTATTTATTCCTTGTTTCCTCTTGGGTAAAATTAACCTTTTTTTTCAGACTGAAGTCTTCCTTCTAGTGCTTTCTGTAAATCTGGACTGATGGATAGAAATTGGCTAAATTTGTTTTCATGGTGAAATTTTTTCCTTCCTTCCTTCCTTCCTTCCTTCCTTCCTTCCTTCCTTCCTCCCCCCTCTTTCCTTTCTTTTTTGAGACGGACTTCTCTGTGTAGCCCCATCTGTCCTGGAACTCACTCTATAGACCAGGCTGGCCTCAAACTTAGAGATCCACCTGCCTTTGCCTTCCAAGTACTGAGATTAAAGGGGTGAGCCACCACCAATGGCTATGAAATGTTTTTCTTTCTCCATCAGTTGTGATTGATAGTTTTTCTATGTATGTTAGTCTGAGATGGTATCTGTGGTCTTTCTTAGCTTGTAGAATATTCATTTGACCCTTCTAGGTTTCAGAGTCTTCACTATTTTAACAGGCCTGAATTTATATGTGAGTTGGTCTTTTTCCCCTTGAAGCTTTTAATAGTCTTCATTCTGTACATTAATATTTGATTATGTTTTATGGGGGGTCTCTTTTGGGTCCTGTCTATTTGGTGTTCTGTATGCCTCTTATCTCCTTCTTGGGATTGGAGAAATTTTCTTCTATGATTTTGTTGCTGCTTCTTCCTCTATAAGTATTATTTGCAGGTTTGCTTTTTTTCATAGTGTCCCAGATTTCCTGGATGTTTTGTGCCTGGATTTTTTCTATATATAACATTTTCTTTCACTGAACTATCCATTTCTTTTACTTTGTGTTTAAGACCTAAAATCCTCTCTTCCATGTCTTTTAATCTGAGGGTGAAGTTTTACCTCTGTGGTTTTCATTTGGCATTCTGAGTTTTTCATTTCCAGTTTTATTTCAGCTTGTGTTTTCTTTAAAAAAGATTCTATTTCCTTGTTAAATTGTCAAATTGTTTTATTTCATTCAACTGCTCATGTTTCATGTTCTTCATTCAGATATTTACTTACACCCTATTTGAGATACTTGAGCATATTCATAATTGGCATTTTGAAGTCCCTGTCTACTGCTCAGCTAAATTGCTTTCTTTAGGATCTATTACAATAGATTGCAGGCCTCTAGAGAAGGCATATTCTATTGTTTGTTCATGATTGTGTTTTTGTGCTGGGATCTAGGCATGCAGGGTTATGTCTGAAGTATTTCTTGCTGTAGATATTTGGTCTTTTCTTTGTTAGGTGGGCGTTCTGTTATTTAGCTGCTATTGTCCACTCCTGGTAGAGAATTGTTCTGTATGTTACTTGGGAGTTACAAAAGAATGGACATGGGCTAAAAGGAAAGGCTGAAAGGGGTGGTTGGGAAGAACTAGGGAGATCCTGGGTCTACATCAAGAGGTCAAGTCCCAAGGGGATGGAGATAGGAGGAGAGGCCCCGGTGGGCAGGCTGCAGGCAGATACAAAGGTAAGTCCTGAGAGACTAGAATGGAGAACAGGAAGGAGGATAAAGGTCACCTACCTGGTCCAAGACAATTGTGGGTCCCTGGCAGAGTGTGCTTCTGTAGGTCAGTGGGAGTCACATAGGAATTGAGATGGGCTAGAAGAAAAAGCTGAAAGGGGCAGCAGGGATGGACTATGGGGATACTGGACCCACACCAGAAGGTTTGAGTCTCAAGTGGATGGATATAAGTCAGCATAACCTTAAGGCAGATTATTTCATAATAGAGATAATCAAATGGTGAGAATATCTGACACCAGCAATCAAATTATACAGAAGCCCATAAATATCACATTATATGTATTACCAAGGGGGAATAGACCCTCCCCACACTTTGCCAATAAAATAAAGCATATGGTAAGGGATGGCTCATGTGACTCTGGGCACCAAATGATCCAGTTGAATTCTTAAGAGAATTAAATGAAGAAGGTATTCTTGCTAGTTTTAATGTCAACTTGATGTAGGCTAGTTCCATTGGTTCCCTCATTTGAGAAAATGCTTCCACCAGACTGGCCTGTGGGGCATTTTCTTGAATAATCATTAATGGGCCCATCCCACAGGGAGTAGTGCCATACCTGAGTGGATAGTCCTGAACAGTGTAAGAAAGCAGACAGAGCAAAGCATGGGGAGCAAGCCAGCAAGCAGTATTATACTACTCCACGGTCTCTGCACCAGCTCCTGCCTTCAGGCTTCTGCCTTGAGTTCCTGCTCTGACATCTCTTCATGATGGACTGTAATTGGTACAAAGAAGCTAAAATAAACCCTGTCCAGAAGCTAAAATAAACCCTGTCCTCTCCATATTGCTTTTGGTCATGATGTTTTATCACAGCAGTAGATTAAGACTGAAGAGAAAAATAGAAAACAGAGATATAGAGCTCCCACCTTGAGATTTTCTGTTTTTATTAAAGTGAAATATATATAAGAAAATAACTATGAAAGACTTGATAACCAAACTAATCACCTGCCAAATTGGTACAATTGGCACTTTTTTTTCTCTTTTTACAATGAGACCTACTCTCTTCAATGATATTTAATTTAAAAAGAATAGCAAAGACAGTGCTGGAAAAAGTTGGATATTATAGTTAACCCTGTTTTTTTTTTTTTTTTTTTTTTTTTTCTGATAAGGGCTGCTTTCTCCACTCCTTTGTGTAGGAGGAGTGTATCAGCAAAGTCTTGCTTCATCAGACTCAGCCTTCTTGGTCCTCCAGTTACAGTTACAATTTTTATGCAATAAGTTTTATATTCTGAATGGTGACACTGGCTTCCCCAAATTGGATGTAATTAAAACCTTAACACTAAATCATATATGTGTGTGTGCTTACACAAGTGTGTGGGCACATATCCATGCATTTTGGTAGCCAGAGAGTATTGTCAAGTGTCTTCCTAAATCATTCTCCAACTTATTGAGATAGGCTCTCTCACTGAACCTGGAATTCAGAGATTTGGGTAGACTGGCAAGCGAACAAACTCCTGGAACCATCCTACCTTCATCTCCCCGGTATTGGGGTTACAGATGTATATCGTCACATTTGACTTTTTATTTATGTGAGTGCTGGGGGCTGAATTCAGGTCTTCATGCTTGTGTGGCATTTTACAGACTGAGCCATTGATTGCCTTAACATGGCTTGCTGAGGGGTATCCTGATCTGATGCTCCAGCAGTTGTGAAGTTCAAATAACAATTACAAATGTAACTGTTTTCTTGAATGATATGGAAATATTTATGCTTGGCCTTTCTTTACATTTTAAAGTATAATCAAGATATAATTTAAAAATATTGTACACAGCTTCTGACAATACATATACAAACAACATATTTATTGACAGGCCATTAGAGCATTAGAGCAGTCAAATTCAGTTTATAAGTACCAAGACATTCAAAATGAAATAATTAAAACTTCCAAGATTCAAATTTGAAGATACAAATACAAGATACAAGATACAAGATACAAACATGTAGTTAGGTTGAATATAACACATAAAAGGGACAAACATTGAAATGCAAAGGACCAGAGTTCCCTCAGGGACTAACTTAAAGTAGATACATTAGTGTCATTTAAGCTGCAAACTCAGGCCTCTGGAACCATAAGATGGATCCTGCTTAGTGATATTCAGGAGGGAAAATGGCAGTTTCTACAATGTCTCAAGGAAATTAAGAATGCAAGCAATGAGAGTGGAAACCAGAGGTATTGAAGCGTCACTGTAAGATGGGCCAGAGAGCAGCACTGCCACATCTAAGTCAGTAAACTAAGGGCGATGAGATGTACTTACTAACTCATTTTGACTGGTACACTTCTACTACATTATGTATTTAGAAATACATAATAAATCCTGTTTATGTAAATAGAGAGTGAAAAGTGCTTGAGCACACACAGGGGCAAGTGAGAGGACATGGGTGGTGGGGTTGTCTAGGTAGTTACTTCATGTGTACCACCAGGTCTTTATAAGTATTGTCATCTTACTATTTATGTAATGTAGTTTTTTGTGACCACATATTTGCTAGGTGGGAATGGAAAAAACCAGGCTCAACTTTGAAAAGCTCACATTGGTTTTACCTCACTAGTCAGATTTTGGCCACTAACTGAACTGTTTCATATAAGCTTTGAAGATATTGAAAAGGTCTGAATAATCAAAAAATTCTCTTAGAAATATATAGTCATATCCTAAGGCTAGGAATACTTCAATGTGTCATTTCTCATCTTTTACTTGCCCATTTTACTGTTCTCAGTATCCTGTAACCTTAAAAATCAACTAGATAGGACTACTGAACTCCTGGGCAGTTGCGCTTGGTGTGCTCATTTGTTTCACTGTTTACCAGTCTGGCCTAAGAGGGTAAGTAGAATGGCTTCATTCCTTAGGGCACGTTCACCATCATTATGACTTTTCTATTCCACCTGATTTCTCACTGGTTTTATCCCTCTACCTGACTCCTTGACAAGGGTGACCTTAACCAAGACAGACCCTAACCTTTCCATCCAAGTTAACCTCCTTAAGTGAATTTCTGTTCATTCCAAAATGTCTTTATGAAGAGTCCTTTACCCTTACTTCCCATGATCTCTATGACGACTGAATTTATACTCATTCACCCATCAGGCAGTGCTTTCCACTACCATCACTTCTTGAAACTAGCCCCTCAAAACTGTGATTACTTTTTCCTGTAATTTTTCTGTATTTTCTTCTCATATAACTTGTAATATGGAAAAGAATAATAAAAACTGACATTGATTGCTGGGCAGTGGTAGTGCATGCCTTTAATCACAGAACTTAGGAGGCAGAGGCAGGCAGATCTCAGTGAGTTTGAGGCCAGCCTGGTCTACAGAGGGAGTTCTAGGACAGCCAGGACCATTACACAGAGAAACACTGTCTCAAAAAACAAAAACAACAACAACAAAACACAACAAAAACACAACCCCAAAACCCTGACATTGCATTCTGTTTTATTAAATACTTATTTGAGCATTTGTTTTTGTGTTTCTTATCCTCTCACTGACTTTTGGTCACCTCTGTCACACTAATAGATCAACAAGACTTCATGCCATGTTTACTCAAGAGGTTAGGGATAAAGACAAACTAATGTATGGAAGAATAGCAAAATAATGTGAGTAAAACATGAAAGTCAGATAAATGGAAGAATGAAAGATGTTTATCTTCAGGTGAGTCTCTTCAGGGATGTCCTTGTGCTTTTCCATATTTGGCAGCAAAGTATGCCACTGTGCCTCACAGTTGCTTCAGCTCTCTGCTTGAAGGGGACCCAAATAAAATAATTCATTGACCGCTATCAACTTTTCAGATATATTCAAACTGCAATACACTTAGGGAGTTTTCTAAAAGTGACAGAGCATAGTTCACAGAAAGCCAAATAATGTAGTGGAATGAACTCTCCCTGATGTTGTGATTACAAAAAAAAAAAAAACCCCAAAAAACAACAACAAAACAACAACAACAAGGGCACAAGTAGTGCCCCAGATGAGAAAAGAGGGCTCTGGCAAACAAAAGTCAAGTGAAGACCCTAATCCATTAAGTACTTTAAGGTATCTCCAAGGAAACTAAAAAAACCGAATCTTCAAAACAAAGGGATAACAATGTGATTCATGTGAATCAGTGACCAATATTGTTCAAATAAACCTAACTTAGAATCTATTATAAATACATTTTAGTTATGTTCATCAAATTAGACAGCACTTTGCAGGGGATGGAATCTTAAGCAACTTTCACCTCTCAACCTTTACTTTCCAACACAGAAATTACTAAGGAAATGGTGGCACGTGTCTCTCTTTGAGTTCAGAGTAGTGACTTTGTGTCTTCCCAATGATATGGCTGTAAGTCTCAAGCCTAACCTTACTAAATGAGACTCCTACTAAGCATGGGGTAAACAGATTTCACAATGTTTACGGCACTACTGTCTCTCAAACATTCCTTGAAATAAAAAAATTGGGTATTTGAAAAATCGGAAATAAAATTTTGAGATCTATAGCCAGAGTTTTAAAGAATTGGGTATTTGGAAAACTGGGAACAAAAAAATTTTGCAATTTCATGCCAGAGGTTTTCATTATCTGTGTTCAAAGTTATACAGTGGACAAGTGAAATCATACACATATACAAATGCTCCTGAGGGTCCCATTATGAACCTTCTATTTAAATATTCAAATATTAAACACAGTGATAAAGCCAACTTACATTTCTTAACACTCAGTAAGTTTTCAGGGTTGCTCTTCCATGTGAACTCTTTGATGTCGGATGAGAGATGAACTGCACTTAAAGCTCTTCCCACATTCATTACATCTAAAAGGTTTCTCTCCAGTATGAGTTCTCTGGTGTTGAATAAGAGCTGATGAATGAATGAAGGCTTTTCCACATTCACCGCATTTGTAGGGTTTCTTTCCAATATGAATTCTTTGATGTTTAGCAAAATTTGAGCTCCGGCTAAATGTTTTCCCACATTCATTACATTCATAGGGCTTTTCTCCAGTGTGGATTCTCTGGTGCTGAACAAGGTGTGTGCTCTGACTGAAAGTTTTTCCACATTCACTACACTCATATGGCTTTTCTCCAGTATGGACTCTCTGGTGCTTAGTAAGGGATGAGCAATGGCTGAAGGCTTTCCCACACTCTTGACATTTATAGGGTTTCTCTCCAGTGTGGGTTCTTTGATGTTTAATGAGTGCTGATGAATGAATGAAAGCTTTATCACATTCATTACATTCATAAGGCTTCACCCCAGTATGAATTAACTGATGCTGTGCAAGATGTGTACTCCGGTTAAACCCTTTCCCACACTCACTGCATTCATAAGGTCTCTCTCCAATGTGAATTCTCTGATGTATAGCAAGGGATGAACTTTCTAGGAAGGTTTTCTTGCATTCACTACACTCAAAGAGAACTCTAGTATGAGTTCTCTGGTGTTTAGTTAAATTGGCTCTGTGGCTAAAGGATTTCCCACATTCACTGCAGGTATAGGGTTGATCTCCAGTATGTACTCGCTGGTGTCGAATAAGTACTGAATGGTAAGTGAAGAGTTCACCACAGTCATCACATTTATGAGGTTTTTTCTCTTTATGAGGCCTCTGCTTTTTTATTAAGTTTGATTTCTGCCTCAGTCTTTTCCCAAGTGTATGAATGTCATAGGATCGTTTGGGAACTCTCTCATCAGTCATAAGGAGAGATTTCTGACTGCAATTTTCCCAATACATATTACGTCTACTATCTTTTTCCACAGGGAGGGAGTTCATATGAGTGAACATTTGTCTTAAGTGCTTTTCCTGATTTCCTTGCTGGTGTGCTAACCAATGCTCACGATCACAAGCTGTCTCCAAGCTGGAGTCACTAACAGGAATTTGTGCCAGGTTTTCTGATCTTGTAACCTGGTATGATTCTTCTGTGGAAAAGTCTTGCACTGAAGTTGAATCCTTGCTCTCAGGTCTAGTTTCCATGTCTGGAAAGATATTGCAAATGCAAATTTTCTTTGCTTTCTGTGCTTAATAAAAACATAGTTCTATAACAGGTAAGAATTAACGAAGATGAAAGCATGCCTTTGTGGAATTAGTAGATCTGACACTTATAGTGGGAAATTACCAATACGGAGTCAGGTAGAAATATAAGGGTATTTAATAGGGAAAAGCCTTACTTACAGAGCGACCTAGCCAGCCGGCGTGGCAGCAGTCTGTACAGCAAGTACCAAAAGTGAAACCAAAAGCGCAAATGCAGTCACACTACGACACTCTGACCACGCCCTCACAAGCGTGGTCAGGCACACCTGTAGCCAGCCCCCAAGTAGGCGTGGCTACAGCTTCCCCTACAGACACTTACTGGATGGTTTGTAGAAAATGAGGAAATTGAGGGAAATAAATAAGAAAATGAATAGACTCTATCCAGGAGAAAGATGATCAGATATATAACAGGAGGAGGGAAAAGAAAAGTGAAGGAGAAGGCAATGACTACATTAGATCTGGATAGTAAAAACCTCATGTTATACACAGACATGTATAGCTAAATGTATGCACATTTAATGATATGTAGCATAATAGCATAGTACTATGCCATTATAAATACTATTCGCAGTATAGTAATTAAAATAGTATGGTACTGAAACATAGACAAATAGGCCCAGAAAGAAATTCAAATATGTATAAGGGATCTGGGTGTTGTGGAATATTTGTTTACACTTTGTGAGGATCCATCACTGTGATTGGTTTAATAAAGAGCAGAATGGCCAATGGCTAGGCAGGAGAGAATAGGTGGAATTTCCAGGGAGAGATAAATGCTGGCATGAATGTAGGCCTATGAGAGATGCCAATGAGATACTGAAGAAGTTGGACAGAGGAGAGTTAACTAAGCTATGTGGCAGAACACAGAGTAATAAAAACAGGTTAATTTAAGTTACAAGAATTTAGTTGGGGAAAAGCCTAAGCTAAGGTCAAACTTTCATAGTTAATAAGTCTCCATTCATTATTTGTGATCTGGTGGCCCAAAGGAAAGTCTGACTAGAACTGGATTTAGCAAAAGGTAGCATTACAAATCACTGATAAAAGATTACTCAATAAACGGTGCTGAATTATAGGCTGTAAGCATGAAAAAGATCCACTTCACATCATTTACAAAAATGCCGCACAATAAAACTTGATTATTTTATAATAAAATTCAGATTATCTTTCTGACACCAGTATGACAAAACAATTCACAAAAAGCAATTTAAAATTAGTAAGGGCTTAACCAGGTGTGGTGGCACATACCTTTAATCCCAGCACTCAGGGAGGCAGAGGCAGGTGGATTTCTGTGAGTTCAAGGCCAACCTTGTCTACAAAGTGAGTTCCAAGACAGTCAGAACTATTATGCGGAGAAACCCTGTCATTAAAAGACAAAAAATTAGTAAAGGCTGGGGCTAGAGAGATGAGAGATGACTCAATGGTTAAAGGAACTTGCTCCTATTGTAGAAGATCCAGGTTCAGTTCCTAATACCCACAGGGAGGCTCATAACACTCCACAACTCTGGTACTAGGGGATCCAACACTCTCACCAGCTCCACAGTCACTCATGTAAAGTAAAAATAATGTTTTAATAGATTTATCTTCAACTATGTATGTGTGTCTATATGTGGGTATGTATGTGTGAGTCAGATGCCCACAGTAGCCAGAGGCTTTCAATCCCCTGCAGCTGGAGTCATAGGCAGTTGTGAGCTGTGTCACATGGGTGCTGGGAATGATGCTCAGGTCCTAGGCAAGAACAGTATGTACTTTTAAATTCTGAGCCATCTCTCTAGCCTCTAAAATGAAATAAAAAAATTAGCAAGAGCTAGGGATGTAACTCAAGGGTAGAGTGCTTGCTTTACCTTTACAAGGTTTCAGGTTTCAACCTCAGCATTGAAAAAGAGAAATCAGTAAATCTGGCCTTAAATTTTTAAAGTTTAATATACTAAATTTGGGGCCTATTAAATATGCTTCAAACTGGAAGAATCAATTCTGCCTTGTTTGTAACACTACCACTATCATGTATTAGAATCTAAAATATACAACTAGATGCAACAAATCAAGGAGACTTAAACAGTCAAGAATCACAAATATTCTCACCGTTCATATTTGGTACTCTGAGAAATGCAAATGAAAAACATGAGGTGCCATGTTTTTTTATAAGATGGACAAGAGCCACTAAGTCAACTGGTGGACAAGATGGAGAAAGGTCCTTAACAAATCTAATAAAACTAGTATGTGACACTTTAAGACCCACCTATCTTCTTCCAGTCATCTACTTTAATGTCAACTCTCAAGAGGAACATGAGTGATAACAGATAGCCATGCAATTCTGCTAATGACCAAAAAGTAAAACAAACTGTCTAGTCTATTCACACAATGCACTTACTCCATATTGTTTGAAAGTAACACATATGATTCATTCCAATATAGATCAATAGCAAAATGAAACACGAGCTTAAAAATAGATTACAGAAGAAAAACTATAACAATAAAATACACAATTTTTTGGTACATGCTTATGTGCAAACATACCTGTACATGCAAATACAAGAAGATTCATACCAACTTCAAGACAAAAGGGTTATTTCTAGAGAATGAATGAGAGGACTTTATCTGAGTCCCTAAAATTTTTATTTCTTAAAAAGTAAAAGACATCACATAGCCATAGGAATGGCTAAAATAAACACAGATAATAGCAAGTGTTGATAAGCACGTGGTAAAACTAGAAGCTGCAACTTCTCTCAGTGGAAATGTAACTGGAAAGATTTTTGTAAACCCTCTTTGGCAATGTCTACATTTTACACACACACATGCACTAACACGCATAAAACACATATGTGTGCATCAAAAGAGGCGTGAAAGAATGTCTACAGGAGCAGTATTCATACAACCCAAACTGTACACTACCCAAATACCTGTCTTCAGAAGAATGGGTAAACTGGGGTACTGAAATAATGAAAGACTATACAGCACTGAGAGTGAACTAATCTCAGCAACATGCTACAACATGGATGTGTCTCATCGTGAAAGCTCAGAGAAGGAAGCCAATCTCAAAAGAATTCACAAAGACTCCATTTAAATGAGGTCCAACAATAATCAAAACTAACCATGGTGTTACACATTGAGATGAGGTTACCCATGGGGGAGAGGTGACTGAACCCTGGGCACAAGGTGCTTCTCAGGAGACCAGTGTTTTCTTGATCTAGGCAGTAGCTACATGAATGTGTTCAACTTGCAAATATCCACATAAACATTACAATGCTTTTATGTATTTTAGTGTTGCAAAAAAAGGGGGGGGAGAAGAAAGGAGTAGAAAGTGAAATAAAACAATTTTGGTGATGGTTACATTTTTTATTTTGACTTATATATTTAAAAGCTTCATATTTTAAAATACTTTGAAAATCAGGACACCATAGGCATTTCTGATACTCTCCCAAGCTCTGCAGAGTGCTACTCATTCACTCTTCTGCTGGACTGAAGTGCCCCATTGAGCTCACCTACCTGAGTAACTGCATTTACGAGGTTTTTTCTCAAGCTTCAATAGTTCTTTTCCATCATCCAAATTATAGCTATCAGGTTTGGAGACGGGAAGCCCTGTTTATTAAAAAGAAAAGGAAAGAAAGTAAAATGAATCAAACAGATGTTTATGGTGGGCACAGAGACCTCTACTGGAATTCAGTTCCAGGCCCTTCATCTAGACATGATGTTGCAAGGAGGAAGGACCTCTCAATGGGGCTTAGAATATCTGCAAGAGTCTAATTAGACTGGTGCAAAGTTAAACTGAGTTTATAAAGACAAATTTGTTTGTTGTAAAGGAAAAGCAAGTGTCTCCATTTCCTAATTGTGGGGGTTATAGAACAATAGTGCAGATTAATCTTCATTTCAGAAAAGAATATTAATAATAGAGGACTTCAGTGGCACTCCAATATTGTGACTGTGGAACTACAGTTTTTAATCTTCCAATATTTTTTCTTTCTTTTTCAATTACTAGACTTCTCTTTGGAGATTATACAAGGGTTTGACACGGGCTACCACAGCCTGTACCACCCTCAAATAAACAAGTGCATGTAGACACACACACACACACACACACACACACACACACACACACACACACACACACACACACACACACCCAAAAAAACATATATATATCTAAC